AACAGGGACTTAGGATCCTTAGGATCAAAAATCAGAGCTGTATCAGTGATCATAAAATCATGTGCACATTTGTATTTGACAAATATATGACAAATAAATGTAATTTGACAAATTAAAATGTCAAAAAATGTGCATTAGCACACCACATACAACGATTCTACAAAATTCATATCTATATGAGCGTATGTCACAACCTGATCAACAATTATACCTTTAATTCACCCATATTTATTATGTATCAGGCACTATACTAGATGCTATCAGAAACGCTAATGTGTACAAAACTTCCATTTAAATGAATGTGGTCTAATAGGTAAAATAAAATCTATTCATTCAAATAACTAAGTAGTGGGTGCCATATATGTGATGCAAGTTAGAAGTACATTGATGGGAAAAGTATCATTAGTAACTAGAAAAATCAATAAAGGGATTATGGATTAGTGCTATTAATCTAAAATTAATATACTAGTTATCAACAAATGTAATTCAATGTTTAATGAGTGATACTTGTGATTTTCCTTCTGAAAATTTATGAGGATTGAGAAGAACGATTTGTGTGCCTCCATTTCCTTACAAATATTAATGGCTCCTTTTTCTCATTAAATGTACTTGTAGCTTGCAATGATACTACCTTTAATTCCCTTGACAATGAGTTAAACCAAAAGCTGAGATCATTATTTTAACTCTCAAAAAGCCAGTAACATTTTTACATATTTGGAAGTCTCATTTAGGATTTCACAGTTAGGAGGAAACATTTCTTGAAGTAGATCTTCTAATTATCATCTTTCCTTTGCTTTTAATTTTGAGCTTCAAAAACCTTCATGCAACAGAATGTAAGTGTGAAAGTATATATACCAAAAGGCCAGTGGAGCTCATTTGCCTGGTGGATGGTAAAGGTGAGGTGTTTCTTTGAACATGAATGTACTTTCTTCTTTTCCCACTGCCTCTTGGAGTCCCTGCTCAACATTAGCAGCTGGGCCTTAGTGGTAAAAATTAGCAAAAGACATTAAGTTACATATATACTTAATAATGTCAATTAAGCATGTGAGCAAGACTCCACGTAAATTAGGGGTACAGGAATTATCAGTTAATTAAAAGAACTGAGATACACTCAATTTTTTGAGAATATGAGAGTCATTAGTGCCCACCAAATATATCTGGTCTACACCTTCCAGACACAAGGAAGAGACTGTATTTCTTGGAGTTTTTGTGGCTAGTTTGGGCTAAGTGACTAGAACTAGTCAATAAATTGTGAGAGAAAATGAAATGAGTCTCTCACAGGTCAGAGCATTTATTACCGGGATGAGAACCTCCAGAGATCTCTTTTTGCCATGATAAAAGGCAATATTTGCAATGGTAGCTGGTTGAATGGCCCGGACACAGAATGAGACATTAAACAGAACTCCCAGAACCTTCCACAACAAACATATAGCCTGACTGAGAAATAAATCCATATTATGAAAGTCACTAAGATTTGGAAGTTATTTGTGAACATATATCCTAGCTTATGCTTATTCATATATTCCAACCCCTTCCTTGCTGTAAGGATGCCAGAGCCTCTGTATTATCCATTACATATGAATGTCCATTATATACGAATATATCCTCATATTAATAATTTTTTTAGAACAAGGTGATCTTGCAAATACATATGGATTTAAATGTCACTGTATAAAACTGTTGGAGAAACCATGACATATCCTTAAATTTATTCATTTATATACCACAGTCTGGAGGGAAAGTTCCTAGAAAGAACGAGCCTATTTTTAGAAAAGCTTTCTAAAATATTTGGACCATACCATTTTATCAAGGAAATAACTCAATAGAGGAAATTGAAGGAAAATCTTTATTTAAAACAGCTTGAAAATATATAATAAATGTGAATGCTTATCAAACTTTTCCAGATATATTTTAGCTTCCTGTAATAAATTTAAGCCAACTCCAATTTCTTCTGAGCCCCTGATGTTCATCCTCCCCTCTCCCTTCAAACTGAAATATCCCTATACAAATACACTAAAAACACTAGAATTGTGGTCTATCTAACTTATTAGAGTGTATCTCTGGTCATTCAGAAACCCTCAGCATCTTAATAAATAAAGCCATATTCTATGGGTAACCTTAAATCCCCATGAACTAGACAAAATACTCGAGTTCCTTCTAAATATGAATTTTTTGTGTGACAAAGTTCCTTTCTAGATGAGATATCTTTCAGTAAAGATGTTGATACCATTCATTAGCACATCAATAAATACTACCTCATTTTAAGTTCAGATTCAGCACTAAATTTTGTTTCTTTTTTGTATCCCCGCCAGAGGATGGTGGCCTATACCTAGAGCAAGTATAGGCTGCCTTAACTGTGTTAACTTCATTACACGGAAATAATGCAAAAAAATTAATTTTAAATCTATTATATTCCCCACAAAGCATCTAGGGTTTAAAGTCAGACAGGTAGAATCCAAATCTAAATCCTATCTTTGCCACCTACTCTCTGTATTTTGGGGCAAGATGCTTATCTTCTCAGTACTTTACTGTCCTCTTTTATAAATGTGATTAATAATAGCATCACTTGGGTCATAGTATGACTAAGGACTCGATGTGATAATACACATGAAGCATTAAGAGCAGTCCCTTGGTCCAAATAAGTATTAAAAATACCTGTTACTATTATTATTGCTCTAAAAGGAAAGAATAACTGAACATGAATGTTTTCTTAAATACATACATTTGCTTGAATTACTTTGCAAGAGGAATATAGAAAATGTGTGTCACTATTCACAAATAAAGCTATAATTTCTTAAATATATGTCACTTTTTAACATATAACTAAAATTACTGAAGAGTCCTAACATTTGTTCCTTATATTGCTATGAGTTAAAGAATATATTTTATGCATTTTAAATTCATGATTACACTGTGAATGAAAAGGATGAGCTATAAGTTGTGAAATCCAAAGAAAACAGTAAAGTCATGAAATAATTTTTGATAGGTTTCATATGGAAATTCAAGCATCAGTATTTATTTCAACAAGTGTGACCTGTAAATTCAATGAACGTGTACAATATTTTAACCAAGTTTCTGTTCTAACAATGACAGCCTTTCCCCAACCATGGCAATGATGTAACCCTGCCATCTAGTGGACAATGGACAGGGACACTTTTTGAAAATTCTGTAAAAAGCCTCAAATAAAAGAAGAAACTTGCATTTTTGTGTTCTGACATTTTAAATTTTAAATCTTGAAAGTGGATCTGGTAAGAAGCGTAATTTGTGATGTTATAAGGAGAATTATTTAAATATATTATTTAAAAACATGAGATAGAATATGTTAAAGGCCCAACTTTGGAAAAGTCTAATACATAGTGTACAATTATTAATATAAATACATCTCTATGAAGGAAAAATGAGAATTTTGTGAAGAGAAATGTTTCATAAAAAGTCATTTTATCCATAACTTTTAATGTTGCATCAGCTGGAAATCTTTTTTAACATGTTCTTGCACTTAAAAAATAGCAACTGTGGGGCGTCAGTTAATGATCTGACTCTTGATTTCGGCTCAAGTCATGATCTCAGGGTCATGGAATTGAGCCCTGTGTCAGTTTCTGTGCTGGGCATGGAGCCTGCTTAAGATTCTCTCTCTCCCTCTGCTCCTCTTCCCCCCAACAACCCCCAGCCCACACACAAACACTCTCTCTTTCTCTAAAAAAAAAAAAAAAAAAGCAACAGCAATAATAATAAAACAACACCAAAAAAAAGATGAAATATAATACAGGATCTTTCTCTATGTACAAATATAAACACACACACACACACAATCATTTTTTAGTATAACGGAAACAAAAAGTCCACTATCATTTGTTGTTTTGTAGTTACTGATTTGCCCAAGATTAAGGTCTGTCCAAACCTGACCTAATTGCTAGAACTTTTAACTTCAGGCACAATGGTTTTGCTCTCACTCAGTGTTGCCTCAGTCACTTAAGACTTCTTCACAACACAATTGTCAAAATCGGATGACCCATTTTCATTTGAAACAAAATCATCTAAAATACATAGAGATAAAATATACTAGTAACATAGTTTTGAGCATTTTTCACACATATCCATGAATAGGTAGACAGATCATTTTTAGGAAACACTGTTAAATATCAAGAATCAAAACTACTGCTGAAAAAGGAAACATCTGTGAGAAAGTGAGCAAAGAGAAGTCCAAAAGTCAAGCCCACCCCAGTATTTGTGAGACCTGAGGCCTTCCGGACCTCCTGGGCGGTAGTCCACTCATCACCTCTTCCCACCCTGGCTTTATCTCTCACTGTGAAGGAGCATCCTACACATGCCTCTAAGACACCACAGCCCCCAAGTGCAAACTAGGACCTGACTCCCCTGCACACACACTACCTTCACCCTCACCTGAAGGCTCCTGCAGTTTGGACAAGGAATCTGGAATCTTGGTTACCTAGAATGTGTCAAAGCTTTGGATGGGCATTTTGTCTTGACCCCAAAGGCTCCTCATTCTGTGTGAACAGGCAGACTAGGTAAAGGACAGGCAGAGTAGGATCCACCAAGGGGTCAGTGGGTGGTACTGGCATAAGTGTGGCTTATAACTGGACATTTTTAGAGTGGCTATAGAGTAGAGAGATGGTGTGAAATAATGGTTATCAAAGGGTACCCTCACGATGATCAGCTTTTTTTCTTAGCTTGCGTATCCCAGGGTCTTGTTCTAGAAGAGAGAATATAAAACTTTTCATGGAAGCAAGGAAGATACGAATTAAGGGTAACCATCATGGTGTGCTATCATCTGTCATGACGCATAAGAGTCTCAAGTGAAAGCGTAGCCTCTCTAACTTGGGACATCAACTAAGGAGACCAATTTTCCCTTCAAATATGAAGTATCTATTCTTTAGTCTGTTTTTTTTTTTTTTTTGTCAGTCTATTTTCACATCGCAAGAGGCATAAATATCCCAGTCACATACATAATTTTATAAATACAAGTATATGCATATACTTACCATGCTGTTCATTTTTGAAGATGATGAACCTGCTCTTTGCTTTCTTAGACTATTCACTTCTTCTACATTTCCATCTTTTGGTTTCAAAATCATTCTGCTACTCCCTGCAGTTCCTTCAGATGAGGATCGCAGTCGCCTTTCTATAAATCTTCCTTCACGATATGGACTGAAGCTACTGGCAAGAACTATTAAAATAGATAAATAAATAAAAATTAATACAAATGCTTAAATGTAGTTTTTATAAATGTTCCACTGAAAGAAAATGAGAAACTCTTACTGTCATTCAAAAACTCTCTATCACAGAAAAAATTTTTTTAATTAATAGTGGTAAATTTAGTTTACTTAATCATGTAATCACTTCAAAGCTCAAAACCTTCATAGTCATCCTTGGCTTCTTCATACCTCACAAAATCACATAAGCAAATCCTGTCCTTATTACCTTCAAAGTGTATACAGAATCTGATCACTTCCTACTACCTTCCCCATGAATACCCTGGACCAAACTCCATCAACCCTAGCTTGGGTTACTATAATACTTAAACCGTCTCCTGCTTTTGCCTAGTCCCACCTGCCTCTCTCCCCCCAAAAAACACAGCCTGCTTTCCACATGGTAACCAGAATGATACACTGAAGACATTAAGTGACATTGGTCATGATCACTCTTCTAGTCATAGAGTTGATATTTTCAAAATAGCCTATCAGTTTCCTTATGATATGACCCTAGTCTGTCCCCCTGCCCCATTAAGGGCCTCCCTATGTTCACCTGTTCACAACTTCACCTTCTACTGAGTCCTCCTCCTTCACTCTACTTATGCTGCACTGGACTTCTTGCAGTTGCAGGCACACTGCAGTCCCACGGCCTTTACCCCATAGCCTTTGCACAGTTATATTTCTCTTAAATATTTGTATATCTTACTCCCTCATCACCTTCAGCTCTCTGCTAGTATGTTACCTTGATTAATACCCTGCTCACCATACTTAAAAGGGTCTTTGTGAGACCTGAGGCCAAACTACAAACAATGAACTATCAGAAAGTGAAATTAAGAAAACAATCCCATTTATAATATCATCAAAAAGGATAAAATGCTTAGAATCAAATTTAACCACAGAAGGGAAAGATCACTCTGCTGGAAACTATAAGACACTGATGAAAGGGGTTGAAGAATACATAAATAAATGGAAATATATTCTGTGTTCATAGATTGGAAGAATCAATATTGTTAAAATGTCCTTACTACTTAAAGCAACCTACAGATTCAATGCAATCCCTATCAAAATTATAATGGAGTTTTTCACAGAAATACAAAAAACACTATTCTACAAAAGAACCACAAAAGACCCCAAGTAGCCAAAGCAATCTTGAGAAAGAAGAAAGCTGCAGGTGTCACATTTCCTGATCTCAAACTATACTACAAAGCTATAGTAATCAAACATTATGGTGTTGGCATGAAAACAGACACATAGATCAAAGGGACAGAATAAAGAGCCCAGAAATAAAACCATCATATATGAGCAATTAATTTTCGCCAAAGGACCCAAGAATATGCAATGCAGAAAGGATAGTCTCTTCAGTAAATGGTGTTGGGAAAACTGGATAGCCATATGCAAATGAATGAACCTAGAACCCCATCTTATAGCGTACAAAAAACACATCTCAAAATGAATTAAAGATTTGAACAAAAGGCCTGCAAGTGTAAAACTCCTAGAAAAAAAAAGTAGGGGTAAGCTGCTTGACATTAGGCTTGGCAATGACTTCTTGAAATTCACAGCAAAAACAAAAGCAACGAAAGCAAAAACAAACAAATGGGACTATTTTGAAGTGAGCTTCTGCGCAGCAAAGTAAACAATCAACAAAATGAAAAGGCAAATTATGGAATGGGAGAAAATATTTTCAAATAACATATCCTGTAAGGGGTTAATATTCAAAATATACAAGGAACTCATGCAACTCAACAGAAAATAATAATAACCCAATTTAAAAATGGGCAAAAAGGCTAAATAGACTTTTTTTTTTTCCAAAAAGACATACAAAATAGCCAACAGGTATATGAAAAGGCGTTCAACATCGCCAATAATCAGGGAAATGTAAATCAAAGCCACAACGAGATACCCCATCACACCAGTTAGGATGCCTGTGAGTAAAAAGTCAAAAGATAACAAGTAGTGTCAAGACTGAAAAAAAGGGAACCTTTATACACTGATGGTGGGGATATAAACTGGTACAGCGACTATGGAAAAAAGTATGGCGTTTCTTCAAGAAATTAAAAATAAAGTTACCATATGATCCAGGAATTGCATTTCTGGGCATATATCCAAAGGAAATGAAATCATTATCTCAAAGAGATATCTGTAGCCCCATGTTTATAGTAGCATTATGTATAATAGCTAAGGTATGGAAACAATCTAAGTGTCCATCAACAATGAATAGATAAACAGATAAAGAGCTCAACTTTATATTATTATTTTTGATATGACTATACAACTCAGACATTCAGATACGTATTAAACACTAGTTTAAACATCTTCCATTATAAATGCAGAATAAATTCAGTATTATGGACTTTAGTGTACACAGCAACTCTTTCTTACATAAAATACATTAACTTAACTGGTTTTATGTGGTTTTTTTTTTTTAAAGATTTTTATTTATTTATCAGAGAGAGAGAGACAGAGGCAGGCAGAGGGAGAAGCAGGCTCCCTGCTCAGCAAGGAGCCCGATGTGGGACTCGATCCCAGGACCCTGGGATCATGACCTGAGCCGAAGGCAGACGCCTAACCGACTGAGCCACCCAGGCATCCCAACTTAACTGGTTTTAAAATGTTGAACTTCCAAATTATAAAATCCTTATGAATGGCACAAGAACCTCTCCACATAATGAAGGATAGAATACTATTGTCTTTTCCTTGTTGACATTACCAGCTTAATTGTCTATCCCTCTCTTTTACAAGTTGTAGATAACATGAATAAACAGCTAATGTCCCAAGAACCAGCAACACATTATCAAATTCATCGAAATTACTTTAATGTGTTAAATGGCTCACAATTAGGATCTTAGTCAACAGATTAATAGTCAGCAAGATACTCCCATAGAGATAAGTATATATAGCATTCAATTTGGCATTGAGGCAAATGATTATCTCTAAATAAGAATTAGATATAATCAGGATAAGTACATTTCTACCATATTTTTGTGCTATTTCTTTTAAAAACTGTCTAAATTCCAATTTGAGATCCACCATTTGCTAACAGTGTGATTTCATAAAGTTATTTGACTTAATCCTTAATTAGTAATAACTGCCATATAAAATTTTGGTTATGATTAAATGACACTTATCTTGATGAGCACTAAGATAAGGACTTGATGAATCACTATATTGTATACCCGAAACTAATACAACACTGTATGTTAAGTATACTGGAATTAAAATTTTTAAAAATAACTTTTTAAAAAAACATTAAATGAAACAATGCAAACAAATTCCTTAGCATGTTTTTGGGCGCACAGAAAAAAAAGGTGACCATCATCAATATCATCATCAGCATTGTTCTTATTATTACTATAATTAAAGAATTAATATAACTAAAGCCATAAGTACAAAAAAGGCTACCAAGATCAAAAATTTTAAAAGTAAGCAGATGCATAAAAATGATCTTGTGTCAAATGTGAAAAATATTAGGCTGTACAATTATACAGCTAGATAATTCATTCATGCATTTAAAACTTTAAAATTGGGCACCTGGATGGCTCAGTCAGTTAAGCAGCTGCCTTCAGCTCAGGTCTATGATCCCAGAGTCCTGGGATCGAGTCCCGCATCGGGCTCCCTGCTCAGCGGGGAGTCGGGTTCTCCCTCTGCCCCTCCCCTCTGCTTGTGCGCGCTCTCTCTCTCTCTCTCATTCCCTTGCTCTCTTGCAAAAATAAATAAAATCTTTTAAACAAATAAAACTTTAAAATTGTTATATTCATGGAGAGACTAATTGGATTAATCATATAATGTTATGATTCTTGACACTCTAATATATAACTTGACTTATTATAAATTTTATGTAATAATTTAGTATTATTTTTAATGTTTTGGAAAGAGCTGGGGTCATGAAGTCACTAAGCCTAGTCCCTAAGAGCCTGAGTTTTGGATTGAGATAGCTGTAATTTGACCATGCCACGTAACAGCTGTATGATCCCTTGGTCTCAGTTTTCATATTTGTAAAACGGAGACCACTGATGCCTGCCTCATAAGGCTTGTATTCCAAACAATTATCTACTAACGTTGTGACTTCAGACACATTACTTAACATATCTGTGTTCCAATTATCTTATCTGTAAAATGGGTGACTATAATTGTAGCGATTACAATCATGTGAGAATTTGATGAATTAATGTATCCAAAGTCCACAGAATGGGAAATGAGACATAATAAGCATTCTATGTTGGGAGAACTAGTTGGCAGTAACAGTAATAGGAATAGCAGAAGTAGCAACAGCAGAAGCAGTGGCAGGAGAAAAAAATTAATAAAAATAATGTCAAATACAGTCCAGTAGGTGGCATATATTCAACAGTTTTCTTAACTGAAATTTATATTAAATAACAAAGTTTTCTGTTAAATGACATACTGGAGTAATTCAACCACCCCCCCCTTTTATTCTTAACCAAAGAGCAGGTACCCAAGGTTACACAGGTATTTAATGACAGAGGCAAGGTTAGAACCACAGTATCCAGGCTCCAAGGACAGTATTTTTAAAGCTTGCAGGCCTATTATATTTAAAGATAGAGATTATCTGTGCTGAAACATAGATTCTACTTAATAATTCAAGTTTTGTTAAACTAGGAAATAGAATTTAAGGTATACAAATTTCTTTTATAGTGATTTGGCTGGAATATATCCATTTCATTAACTAAGAAATAAAATCAATTTCATTGACTAAGAAATACCAATGCTCTAAAACCATTTACTGTACAAAAAGAAATCCTTATTTTAGATAAAGCCACACTCCAAGTAAAATTAATTTCTTTCCACTGTCTTCTGAGGGCCAGAATCTGGACAACACAACTAAGAAAAATGAGTGATATTGCTGAATTACATTTTTAGCGTAATACAAGTGAAGTAAGTTTAAAATCAAGTAGAGAAAAGATTTAAAACAAATTATAAATAAGAAAAAATACTACAGAGTGAAAAATAAGGAAAAGGTGGTTTCTATTCATGAGATGGAATAAGAAAATTAAATAGAATGAAAATTATATTTCGTATTTACGATACAAAGAAAATCAGCTTACCTTTGGCAGGGTTTGATTCATATCCATATGATGTTTTGTTAAAAATATGATGATCACCAGAAGAGGGTATTATCCTTGAATCTGAAATAGGATGAATCCCTTTAACACGGTCAGCTATTGCTTTATGTTGCTCATAAAATCCAAGTTTCCTTGGGGAGCTTGTCGCCAACATTTTTTCACCATTTTGTACTACCACATGTTCTTCTCTTTGCATATCACCTGATAGGTGAGTCTCTGAGTTGTTCCCATTCATAACAGGTAGTTCAGTGATTTGCAATAACACTTCCTTCTGATTAGCAGCAGAGGTTTCTGATAAGGAATTAGATTCAGTGCTACATCGGCCTTCTAACCTGTATTTTCCAGGAGACATAATTGCACAGGGAACAGTTCCCATAAGGTCTATTGTTGTCTTTGTAACAGCAGCAGGATTGGAAGAGATCTGAGAGGTAGAATCATTGTGGCCAAAGTTGTCACAGTGGGATGCCATACTTCCACTTTGAGGAAATGCATCCGTTTCAGACACAGAATCTTCAGTCAAGGCTAAGAACTCTGAAGGTGTCTGAGCTGTTGTGAGATCAGCAGAAAGCAGCGGAGATTGTAAAGAGCTTCCTGCTCGTTCTGTTACATCCACGGAACAAGATGGAGAAGCTCTTACTAATACAGGCTCTCTCTCTTGGTACTGTGTAATTTCCAATGAGAATCCAGACTGTTGTACCAATGAAATGGATTGACTCTGTGGAACTGGTTTAGAAAATTTATAGTGAGATGAAAAGGATTTAGTAAGTAGTTTCTTTGTTGACTGCTTAACAGAACGGCGAGTTTGTTCTTCTGTGAATCCAGAATCATCCCCCTCACTTTTGCCAGAACTTAGGCAATTTATAAAGACATTCTTATTAGTTGAGTGCTCCTTTTCCCTTTCAAAATCTTCTGTTAAAGATCTTGTTATCTTCTTATTTCGCGAACTGCTAAAACCAACAGAATGTCTTCCCCTGGTTTTAATATGTTCTTCCAAACTCAGTTTTGGCATACTGCTATGACCAGATTGAGCACCATTTGAAATACTAAGGTTCTGGTTGGTAGCATCTTGCTTAGGTTCACTTCCCTTCTTATGGTGGAAACTAATGGAAGGAGTACGGAATATGCTCCTGCGTTTACCTGTACTACCTGAGCTTGAGTTAGTGCTGGAAGGAGAGGAACTGTGGACACCAACTGTATTACTGGAGGACGGTGAAGAAGGAAGAGAATCATGTCTTCTGCTAATACTTCTCCTGAATATTGGCAACCGGGAGACCAGGGTAGATCGTCTTGATCCTGAGTCCCCCATTGGGACTCCAAGGCTTGCACTGTGATAGCCAACTTAGCAGCCTAAAGAAGTTAAAACAAAAAGAACAAGTCAGGAGCATTCAATTATAAATTATAATAAAGACATTTTAAAACAAAACATTGTTTTTCAGTACATGGAATAGAATTCGGTTCACACTAAAATAATAAATAATTAAATTCTGATACTTAAGGATTTTTTGAAATTTTAAGTAGCAAAATTATCCAGTAATTTGCATGGCAATTTTATAATGGCTCAAACATTTCAAGATTACCAAGAATATTTAGTCTATTGAAGAGGTTATTGGGTTGGGAGACACAAGATCACTATTCAAGACCCAGCTTTACTACTCCCACTAGTTCTATAATTTGGTAAACTGTTTGATCCTAACACTTTTTATGTCTACTGATACAGATGTAGTAGCCATGTGACCACCATAACCATTGCCGTTGGGTAAAATGACCCACCTCAACCTCTATTGGCCAGCATCAGATACACCACAAGATTCAACAAGTTACTGCTCTGAACTTAAAAGAATCACAGACCAGACTAAGGGATGATCTGACACTACAATCTTGAGTCAAAGAAAAGCGAAACAGGAAGTATTCTTCTCCTTGGAGTTTGATTTTGGGGCAGTTAGAGATAATCAGGCCACTGGCAGAGGAAACTAAACCACAAAGGATACAGTGCATGGTTATAAACAAGGTAAGGTTATGAGGAAACCATGACTTTGAATTGAAGAAAAGACTTGAATGAAAATTAATTAAACTGGTAATGTTGAAATAAGTAAGAATACATACTGACAGAAGCAGAAGCATAGAAAATTTATGAACCACATTAATGTCAGGGTGGTGATGATGAAGAAAAAGAAGGAAGAGGATGTGAAGGTGGCAGCTCTACAGTTCATTAACTGTGATGTACCAAATACTTTTCTTACACAGATTATCTCTTTTAATGCTTTTAACTATAGAAGCAGATAATAATACCATGGTCATTTGACAGCAGAAAGGTAACCTTCTGTCATTCAGCTAATAAGTGGTAAAGCAGGAATAAGAAACTAATCCTTATGTAACCACAGGATCAGCTCATAATCAGATGATAATTCTGCCTTCAGTAGAGTGAAGAGCCAAACCGTGTGCTGCTGAAAGTCCAGCTATGCTTCTACTTCAGAGATTCCCACTTGTATGGTCAATCTTGCCATTCTGACGACTGCTATTTTTCACTGATTTTCATAATGTGCCCTGATTGGTTCCTGTTTTGCTTTGTTTTGCTTTATTTCTGTATTTCACATAATTCCTTAACTGTAATGTATACACCCCCTACATCAACTTGAATCAGACTCTGTTTCATTTTGCTGTTTTTTGCAACCAAAACTACCTAACTGAACAATAACAAATACTACATAAAATGACCAGCCCTCCATTTTATTATTCTTACAGAAACATTATGAGATTGATCAAGTGAAATACTTTCATGGTCCTGAAGAAGTATGTAACAAAAATGAAAAAATATATTCCCTTTTGGATTCACATTTAAAAATATTTAGTATTTTGTCCCAAATGATATAAAATCTAAGATTTGCATTAAATGATTTTTATTAAATGATTTCTACTTGCATTCACTAAATTTGAATCTAAATTAAACTATGTGTAAAACACTCCCAAAATATCTGCATATTCTTGTAAGCCTTTGGGAGTATAAAGTTTTTTTTTTTTTAAAGATTTTATTTATTTATTTGACAGAGAGAGACAGCTAGAGAGGGAACACAAGCAGGGAGACTGGGAGAGGGAGAAGCAGGCTTCCACTGGGCAGGGAGCCCGATGCAGGCCTCGATCCCAGGACGCTGGGATCATGACCTGAGCCGAAGGTAGACGCTTAACAACTGAGCCACCCAGGTGCCCCAGAGAATAAAGTTTAAAATATAAACAAAGACACTTTAGCTCTTAAAATCTCACAAATTAAAAATATCTAATTTTCCTCCCAGGTTAAATCTAATTTAACCAATTTCCAATTTCCAAAGTGGATACAAAAAATAATAAAATAAATGCTGACACAAAAGCAAGAAATGTTAAAAAAAAAAAAGGCCAATAAATATTTCAATATACACAAATACTGAAAATATCTTATTAGTAATAATGGTAAATATCTTGACATTAATGCATTTATAACCATAGATTCACCACCAGCTAAATATCGTAATGGTTAATAATGCTCCAATTATAACAAAATTCTTTACTAGGCATTGAATGGAAATAAATGATGCACATTAATGAAAAATCACAACTGAGAATAATGTTAACTAAAGCATCAGTAAGACTGAAATCATGAAAAAAAATGTATTTTTTTTAAGATTTTATTTATTTGAGAGAAATTAAGCACTAGTGGGAGGAAGGGTAGCAGGAGGGAGGCAAGCAGACTCCCTGCTGAGTGGGGAGCCCAACAAGGGGCTCAATCCCAGGACCCTGAGATCATGACCTGAGCTAAAGTCAGACACTTAACTGACTGAGCCACCCAGGTGCCCCTGTGTCAGCATTTAAAAATAGGGACTCATTCAATATCTCTTTAGCAAGTATTCAAAGGATTTAACTAATAAAAAATACAGAAAAAAAAATACAGTAATTACTCCTCTCTTCCTAAGTGCTTAATGAAAACAACCAGACTTCCATTGGGTACCAATAATAGACTTAGGTTACTAATATATTTAACCTAATTTAAGTAAAAACATCATAAATACTAAGAGATATTTGCACATTGAATGGGATAACATGAAACAGATATAAAATCTATTGGAGATAAAAATCCTTTAGATTTTACTTTGTCTAACTGATAGTCTTTTAAATTAAGGTCTTGATTTCCTACTGAGAGCTTCCCAGCTAAAAAAGAGAAAGATAACATATATATAGATAGGTTGGAATTATCCATATTTTTTAGAGAGACTCTTCTATGTTTAGATGCTATTTATATCTCCAGATTCATTATCCCCCTCTCCTCATATTTAATTGTCTAATTGGACTGATTACTGCTTGCCATTTTCTGTTCACTTTCACCTGCTGGGCATTTGCAGATGTGGGATCACCTGCTTAGGATGCCCTTCCTGTAACTCTGACGTGAAATATTCCTATTTCTCTAACATTGTCCCTTCCAGGATGTCATCCGTGACCCCTTTCCCATCCTCTTCCATTTGGGATGTAATACTACTCCTTTACATATCCTCAAGTATTACCTTACATAGTTAACATCTGTCTATCTGACTTCACTATTTGACCTTAAGTTTCTTAGTAGCAAAGGCCATCTCTGCTTTGCTTTGAGACCCCATTGCCTAATGTAAGACACAGTTAGTACCTGTCAACTAAATGGATTTTAGGAAATAAAGTTTTAACTTCAATACATCAGTATTTCAAACCTAAATAAACATATTTTCTGCCTCACTACCATAAATAAATGCTGCAATTTTGAGGTTAATTATATTAATTTACAACTTTTAGAGAGTCATACGTTAATTGAAAACCTTTCCAACTGTAAAATTATTCAATAATCTAAAATTTGCTAACATCTGAAAATGTTCTAGAAGCACAATGCTAAATTAAAAAGTTGAATAAAACAATATATCATCACATCTACTATTAATGACAGACAAATGTAACACTGAAACATGTTAATTTTATTTTTATTATAATTTTATTATGACAATCACCTTTTAATTTCTTAATAAACCTTGTGTATATTTTCATATATTTTTACAAATTTCCAAGTCAGATAAAATAAACATATTTTTTTCAGTTCTCCTCTAATATTTCTTGGTTCAGAAGTCATATCACCTCAATCATAACAGATCCTAAAAAATACACAGGTTGAACTAGACCTGCCCATCTTCCAGGGGCCTTTACTACTACGAACATTATTTTTTTGGGAAAACAAATTTGTTATAAAAAGTGTCTTCTAATTATACCTTTAAAGCTATATGGATAAACAAAAAATTAGACTATTTTAGACAATATCACTACACAGATGCATAACTTGACCCTACTGGAAGTGGTATGAAATTCAGTTTGATCTCAATTGAAGAAACAGTATCCTTTGCTCTTTAACACCAGGATTTAACAAGAAATTCCCAGAAAGTACTTTATTCAGTGATCTCTGTAACTTTAGCAAACACTATCATTACCCTTAAGAGTGAAATATCACACAGTAGATCTGTTCTGAATAAAATGAGAGGTGAATCTTATTTGGCATGGTTCAGAAAAATACAAATTCTAGTTAAAGGGGCTATATGCATTGCTAATGTTACCTATTTAAAATAGAGTAAATGTAAAATAAGAAATACTGAAAAATATACATATATATATATGTATATATACATACACACACACACACACACACACACTTTCTTTCATGATTCTAAAGGCATTATCTGTAGGCATAAAAAGACCTTGCAGGGCTTCAGGGGCACCTGGGTGGCTCATTAAGCGTCTGCCTTCGGCTCAGGTCATGATCGCAGGACATGATCCCAGGGTCCTGGGATGGGGTCTCTAATCGGGCTCCCTGCTCAGTGGGAATCCTGCTTCTCCCTCTCCCACTCCCCCTGTTTGTGTTCCCTCTCTCGCTGTCTCTCTCTCTGTCAAATAAGTAAATAAAATCTTTAAAAAAAAAAAAAAAAAAAAACCTTGCAGGGTTTCAAAGCAATCATCTTGAAAATGAATACCACATACAGATAGCTATGTCTGTCTATGCAAGTAAAAGAAACAAAACAAAAACCCCTTCACCTTTTTTTCCCAGCATTTTTTCAAATATTTTCCTAGAATTTGAATACCCCTCATATTTTGTCACCATAAGCCAAAGATGAAGTCACCTGACAGCCCACATCTGAGATAGTCCTAAATATCATGTCTTTCTCCCCAAACTTGTGATGTTTAAGGAGAAATTTACAAACAAAAATACTTCAAATCCAAGCTCTGCCACTTACTAGTAGAATTAGCTAGAATAAGATAATAATTATTTTAGGTATGAAAAGGTGCAAAATCAGAAAGAAACTTAGCACTCTGCC